CAGAAGGCAATATTTTACAGTTAGGGTGGCCAAAATCTGGAACCAGCTTCCCAGGGAAGTGGTCCTCGCCCCTACCTTGGGCAAATTCAAGAGGAATTTGGATGATCTCCTGTCTGGGGTCTTGTGAACCCAGCATTCATTCCTGCCTGTGGGAGGGGGTCAGGCTAGATGATATGTTCAGGTCCCTCCTGACCCTAGCTACTATGAAACTACCTAATTTGGCATTTCATGGAAATCATGAAACTGGACATTGTTGATGAAATCCACAACACCAGAGAAAAGAAAAACTTAATAAAAATAAAATTCTGGTTTCCCAGTGGGATCCAACAGTCCTCATGGCCACTGCAGCCCAGCCTCACAGCTGGCCCAAAGGGGAGCAGCCAAGATGGTGGTTGCTCCCCCCCCCCAATTGGATTAGAGGGCCACCCATCATGTGGCCCCACCCCTCTCTGCCAATCAGGGATGGTGAGGTGTGGGGCTGAACAGTTAACAGCACTCCCAGCCAGTCAGTGGCATTCAGCAACCAGCAGGAGTCAGTACTGGAGATGCACTATTGTTTTCTGGAAGGGAACAATGAACAGAGACACCCAGTTTTTATTCTATTAGCATTTGTTATTCATCTGCTTATTAACTTCACACTAAGTCAGTTTACCTCTCTGTGCCTGTGTTTTCTTTCTACTCTATTTCTTTCCTCTTAGAGTAAGCTCTTAGAATAAGGCAGGAACTGTTTCTAGGTAATAGATAGTGCCCATATTATACATTTTACTGACTGGGGCCTTTACAATCTACTGTAACACAAATAATAATAGAGCCTTATACCCTTATCAGATGACTCATATGTAGACTACACTGGGAAGTTCCATTTTCCTTTTCAGAAGATGTATTTTACATAGACTTTTCAATATGTGCATTCATTGTAACTACCCACATAGAATTCTATACACATTATGGAACATTTTACTTAAATGTTCATTCTTTTGCTGTCCAGTGTCATGAAATGTCCTGCTAGTTAGTTCTCCCTCTTCTTCTATAGGGTCTGGATTACAGTATAATTTGCATCTCTACAATGTATAATGTCCTCTCCTCAGTTGTCTTATGCTTCATGTTCTGCTGTAACTGATCAGAACAACATCATTCTTCTAATTCAACTATACTACTGATGGATTCAGTATTTTTATCCTTTTCAGCTCTCATTTTATTATGGCTAATGGTGATGGTGTGAGGAAGCAGCATTGTTTTCCCAGAAGTTATTTCAAATGTTTTGAAAAATCCTGGTGATTATTTAAGAGTTCATAAGCTCTATTAAGGTTGATTTTCCTGGCTGCTTATGTTTTGCTATGAATTTATAGTGCGATATAGATTTCTTTTCAACAAAATGTCCACAGAACTGTCTCACATGAAAATCACTTTTTGTAGAGGTACACCGATACATTGGTCCGATATCAGATTGGCACTGATATAAAGAAAATTGGCTGTATCAGAAATCAACCCAATGCAGTTGATAATTTGGCCAATTGTGAAGG